GCATAATATTCCATTGTATATATATACCACATCTTCTTTATCCAGTCATCTGTCGATGGACATCTTGGCTCTTTCCACAGTTTGGCTATTGTGGACATAGCAGCAAATATTTTTGAAAGACTTCCACCAACTGGTAATACCGGCTATGAACCAGGCACTGTATTAAGCATTTACAGATATTCTAATCTTCATAATAATCTTAATCTTAGAGTATGGGGATTTTTAACCTTTATTTTGCAGAAGAGGATAAAAGCTCCTCTCTTTGCCCATGCTCACACATCTGGAAATGGAAGAGTCTAGGACTAGATCTAGGTCTGTCTGAGCTGTATCTCAAGTAGTGTACTCACTATAATCAGTATTCTTTTTGAAAAGAAATGAAAACTCATCAGGCTCCTCAAAATCTATGAGGGAAGAACCCAGCTTATGAGACTCTATAACCCATACTTTTCCAAACATGGAAATACCTCTCAATAAAATTATCATCTAAGAGAGGAAATTAAATTCATTAATTAGGGTGTTTGTACTTGCAGTAATATACAAATTTCAGCAAACTGACACAATGAAATTGATTTTCTTACTCCTGTAATTCCCCAGTGTGAACATTCCTGGTGACCTGGAGACTTCTCTTTCCCTCCTGGTTCAGGAATGCAGGTTGTGTCTACCTTGTTGCTCCACCATCTCCTAGGACCTTAGGATCCTCTGCATTCAGTGGATGGGGAAAGAGAAGGTAAAGGCACACGTGCTTCTCATCTACCTCACCCTTGATGGGACACATGTTACTGCTACTCCCATTCTAGTAGCAAAAGCTAGTCATGTGGCCCCATTTAGATGCAAGGATGACTGGGAAATGTAGTCCTTGGCTGGATAACCACTGCCTATAACAACTTTATTTTAAGGAAAGGGTTCATGAAATTTTGGTGAACTTAGCGGCACTTCTGCCACATAGGATATTGTCATGTTTTATGATGATACAAACCAGAACATGAGTTAGTTCCCAGGAGAGAGGCAAACATTTCAGTCCATGAAGTATTTGTTGTTTCCTTTCTCCAAATGCCACCAATAAAATGAAATATAACAAGCTTTTGCTAAGAAATCTATGAAATGGCCTTCCAGATGTTTTACTAGATATCATTAGGGATATAACTTCTAGAATGATACATTTTCTTCCCTCAAAGGGATACCATGGGTTTCTCCCATTTGAACATCAAATCCAGGGGCAGAAGGAATTCTGTTTGAATCTCATCCACAGCTGGGCAAGTAGCTGGAGGAACCTGTGTTCTCACATGTGAAATGGAAATAATAATATAACTGGCTGGCATGTGTGATGTGGGGTTAAAATTAGATGAGGATTATAAACCCTCATGAAGAAGGGAATTACGCGGACTGTTTCTTGTCTCGCTTGCCCTTCTATAACTCACAAGGACTAGTTCATATGAATATTGGCAGAGCCTGGCTTCTGAACACAAAATGCAAATGTAAGGAAACCCATCCAGCTCCATTTACATAATCATGGCAAAATGTAAAATGCTCACCTTACAGAATTGAAATGTAGAGAGAAGGATCAAGAGTAATTTGCTCATTATTCTTCCCTAATTCCCTAAATCCCTAACTTGTGCAATTTTCTTACTCTACCCACAGTTAGGAAATCAAGGCTGCGAAGCCCTCAGGGAACTGGTAGTCTACTGTCCTAATGTAATCAATCCACAACTGAAATGAAGGAAGATAATATGAATTACTATACATAGCTCTAGGGGGAAGGAGCATTTTTTATTAGGTCTATGGTAAAAGTTTCCCCTCAACCCCTAAAGCAGGCCCCCTCAAACACACCTCACAATAATAGGAACCCAGAACATGTATGAAACAAATTAAAGGACTTAACCTGCTTTTCATACTTGAGCATGCCTCTGAATCCCCTGCAGAGCTTATTAAAACACACATTTCTGGGCCCTGCCCTCGGTGATTCTTATTTAATGGGTCTGGGGTGGAGGGTGCCGAGAGTTTACATTTATGACAATTCCAAGGTGATGCTGACGCTGCTGGTCCAGGGACCTCACTGTGAGAACCACCCAGCTGAAAGCATTGATACTCAGTCCTGGCAGCTCATCCACAGTTAACTTTTTTTTTTTTTTTAAGATTTTATTTATTTATTTGACAGAGACACAGCGAGAGAGGGAACACAAGTGAGGGAGAGGGAGAAGCAGGCTTCCCGCCGAGCAGGGAGCCCGATGTGGGGCTTGATCCCAGGACCCCGGGATCATGACCTGAGCCGAAGGCAGACGCTTAAGGACTGAGCCACCCAGGCGCCCCCACAGTTAACTTTTGATGCACATCTAGAATTAAAAGCACTGTCCTAATGATTATAGGCTTCCAGAGTGAATTAATTATTACTATTGTTATTATTCTTAACATCTGGGCTTGCATCAGGAATTTGGCCAAGAACCCTCCTGTAACTAACTGCCTCCTTGTGGCTTTTCATTGTCACCAAAGGCTCTTTGAGATTGCAGTTACCCTTCCTTCTCTTATGTCTTTGATTGTTTGCCCCGATTTATTCCTTACATGCTTCTTCCTCTCCTGCTTGCTCCCTAGCTGGGACCCAGAAGGTTGTTTGGCCAAAGTACTGAGAGATACAAGGTAAGCAGTGTCTAGTACAGTTCCCTTTCCTTTCTGTGCTTGGCTCTATCACTTACCAACTATACGACTTAACCACATTTATGTATTTTTTCCGAAGTTCAATTTTGTCCGTTGTTAAAATAGAGATAACACCTTACATGTTTATGTGAATAAATGTACTTAGTGCAAAGTAAGGGCTCAAAAATATTCTGTATTGCCTTTTCTTGTTTGCTTTCTTGCTTTCTCATTTTCCTTTTTTCTTCCATTCCAGTGTTTTTTCTTCACTCCATGCTTCACCTCCAGTGTAAAGAACAGATAAGAGATCATCTCTTCCCATTTCCCACTCTGCCAGATGGTTCCACAAATGCCTACTTTTTGCAAATATCTTGCTTTCCTTCTCTGGAACATGCTTTTTATCCTCCGGTTCTAGAAATCCGACCAAATCTAAAGCCCCCAGATCTTACTCTGTTCCGTTGTACATTATTAAAATGATCTCATAAAGCACTTAATTTCTGAAATATAGTTTTATGTATTATTTCTTAGCAGACATTCTCATTCATACCTATACTGTCTTCCATTTTTTTCTTTGTAATATATTCCTGTCACAATTATGGCCTAGGTAACATAAAAACACAAAAATGCAATATATGAGCATCCCAAAAGGATTGAATGTTTTCAAAACTCAAAAGTCTGGCTACTTGTCTGTTAGGTCATATATTAAAATGTGAATAATAGGGACTTAATGAATCTGGCATTGGGGATAAGATCAACACCTACTTTTCAAGTTCTTTATTCTGTATCAGGTCTGCTTTTAAATTTGGCCCTTACATTTAAGCAGATGTGCCTGAACATACTGCAGTATGACCAGGGACTAAGGAGTCCAATTCTCTTTGGAGTCTCCATAATTCTGGTATTTCAACTGAATAAATTACTGTCTGCAAAGTAGAGCTGTTATGTTGTTCTTGAGCTTTAGAGGGCGGTAGAGGAGCTGTCTGAAAAAATCCCTACTTGACCAGGAAAAACATTTTTCTTTTCCAAGTTATTTCTGCAAAGCTTTCTCTCTGGAAGGAAAGTAAAGGATTCTATTTAAAAAGATGCATGTAATAGCTTTTAAAAAAATTAAGAGAGTATATCCTAGTATATTTTATATATAAGAACATTTTCCACCATGAAAAAATTTACCTTCTATTGCTTATTAATGTGTGAAGAAGTCCAAAAGAAATTTAAAAAAAAAAGGATTATTGGCTTTATTGTATTTATTGTAGGTTTTATTTTAAGAATGTTTTATTCAGTTTGTGTGTGTGTTGCATTATGTATTGAAGGACAAAATGTTTTGGAGAATTGTGGCTGTGTAAACAGTTAAAAGATAATGTTGAACAATTTGAGGCAAAAGATTTGTACAAAAATACTAATTCCTGAAGGTAATGAGAAAACTGTTTTTGATTTAAGAATTTAAAAACACAAATGAAAAGATGAAACAGGAGTAACTTTTTTGGGGGTAGAGTTCATTTAACTAAATTAGATTTTGTCAGCTAGCAAGACTTACATCCGAATTTGGCCACATACAATTAAGAGAAAATTCTTCAAAAAAGAGGTTTCCAAGGTCTTACTAAAGGCTACACAGAGAAATGCTCATCCTGGACTTCCTCTTATTATCTGGGTGATCCCAAATCCACAGGCACACAGCCACCACAATGATTCCAGTCTCCATAAAGTGGAATACTGTTAGGTTTGAAGCACTGCCTATGCAATCTACACCATTCTATTTATGAATTATTGAGCGTCTACAATGCAAGACAACAGGGTGCACTGTCTAGTCTGAGTGATCAAAACAGAGCTTACTCCGCTTTCTATTGGTCTGAAATGTTTCCTCTGGGGATTGGGTCTTTCTTGCCTACTCTGCAGTAGTGATGGAGGGTGTTACTCAAAGCTGATACTCTTACAGTAGAAGCTCAGAACTTACACCTTGCAGTAGAAGCTCCCCTGCCTGCCTTGCCCAAATTCTTTTCCACTGCTTTGCAAGAGCTATGAGATCAGGTCTTTCTTCCTCCTTTGTGATGTTTATTGTCTTTCCTCTGTATTTTAGTTCTTCTAGTAACCTTTTTTTTTTTAAAAGATTTTATTTATTTACTTGTGAGAGAATGAGAGACAGCATGAGAGGGAGGAAGGTCAGAGGGAGAAGCAGACTCCCCGCCGAGCAGGGAGCCCGATGCGGGACTCGATCCCGGGACTCCAGGATCATGACCTGAGCTGAAGGCAGTCGCCCAACCAACTGAGCCACCCAGGTGCCCTAGTTCTTCTAGTAACCTTTTGATCATTTTCCTTCATCCTTGTCTTCTGGCTTTCTTTCTCTCTTTCTTTCTTTTTTTTTTTTTTTTGATTCTTTATCTGGGAGTATATCTTCTCAACCCCTTAGAACCTGGCTTGTAAGAAATCAGGCATGTGATTACATAGGCCTGTATGTTCTCCAGTAAATGTATTGGGTAATAGTCAGTCTGTCTTGCTTCTAACTCTCACAGGAGATTGGGGGCAGGTTTTCCAGGTCTATTACTGCCAGTACTACCAGCTTTCAGTGTAGCAGGATCTTTCAGGGTCTGCTGATGCTACCCTGAATGATGATGGGCTGCCCACACAGACAAGATGTCACGAGGTTTGCTAAAGTTTTGTTGGTCTTCTTTTTCAATATGGTCATATTTTTAGTGACCCTGAGCCATCTGGCCTTAAGAATTTAACCTAACTGATATAGCGTGACCATTTGACGCAACAAAGTGGGAGAGGACCTCAGAAACTCCAGAAATGAGTCATGATGGCCTTCAAACATTTAGGAAATGTCATGCTCCTTTATTCAAAATTCAGTCAATATGATACAGCAGAATTACAGGAGCCTCAAAATCCTAATTTGAAAATTCTTTTCATGTATTCATATATCCTCCTTGGGCACGTCTTCAGTGAATTCTATGAGGTGCTCTATCTAAGCATGTGTTTATGGAGATATCCACCTTCTGTTGCTTTTTTCCATTTATCATTCTGGGGAGGGAAATGGCCTTGGTTTTGAGGCCATCCTGTTCTTTCTAACCCAGTAGCTCTCAGTTGGCTCCATCTTCACTGAGAAGGGGGTGCCAGTTCCCAGGGGTAATTGCACAGAATGAGGCATAGTGCCCATGAACAAATATGCAGCCTATATAAAGCTCCCATGGCAAATCAAAGTCCAGAAACAGTTTATAAGTTGGAAAAACATTTCACTGAGGCATTTATCACATTTCCTCACTGAGTCTTCTTAAACCAAAATGCCTTGAATGCCTACCATGTACCCAATAGGGCACTAATCCTGTTAAGGAATTAATAATCTTTAAGCAATAGAAATAAAAATGAAAGGAAGCCTAGAAGGAAAGTTACTATATCAGGTTTGTTTTATTTTTTTTCCATTTAGGTCCTTGCCATGCTATATTTCATAACATTTTAAATTATTCTGGAAACCCTTATGGCCAGGAAAAGGGTGGTTGTTTCTTTTCAACTGTAGGGTGGTAGATAAAATGATGGTGAGTGATGTGCTGTTTCTTCCAGGATGAGATGATTTTGCTCCACCTCTTCTGACCAATGCCCAAGATAGGCTACATTATTACTTTAGGGTACAGATAGGGTCACACTTCTCGGAAAAGATCCAGCCAGCCCTAAAGCATGTTTATTTTCTTGATATTATATGGGAGCCCCATTAGAAAATATTATGTGGGGTGTTTCTAGAGGTGGGAATGGGGTCTCTAGGACATCACAGAAATGATGCTTTGTACCTTTAATATTATAACTATGCCGAGCATGATTTGGCCTATTTCACTGTCTCTCATTCTCTCTCTTAGTCTCGCTTCTTGTCACTCTCTGTATTCTGAAGTGATTTCAGAATCTTTCAGTACCACAGGTTATCACTGTGACAATTAATTATCATTGAACTGGCAGTGGAAATGTTAGTTAATGGATGGTATTTGTTGATAAAATGCCAGATAGCAGATAATTAATTATAATAGCTCATCTTGGGGAAAAACAAGTCCATCAGAATGAGGATAATGAACAATTTGCCATCTGGCCTAGATTAAGGGACTGTCTGGGTCAGTGTTGAGTCATTGTAAGTTCCCTGAAGTGTCTCAGTATAGGCCAAATGAATCCATTGCATCTATGAACATTGCTGATAAGATCCTGGAGTTCAGTTTTTGCTGTCCATTTTGACTGGGCTGAGTTCTAAGGGATTTGGGTATTTCAGAAACCTGAATAAATGGGGAAAAGAGGAAGCAACAGAAGATGTATGCAGGACAGTGATCCTGGTTTCAGGGAGCAGTACCTGCTGGGCATGTGCACAGACTATAAAGGAGCGTGGTAAACTTGAGTGTTGTGGGAGAAGGGTGCTAATGTCTAGCAGCAGTGTGGGACCAGGTGGCCAATCCATTCACAGCAGAATTCCAGCTGATAGCCAGAGAAATAGGAAGAGGGGACACTTCACTCTTACCCATCCTTGTCACCCCCCCCCCCACCAAAAGAAAAGATCAGTTGTTTGCAGGTGCAGGATAGGACAAAAGAACAGGTCAGTAATCTTGGCTTCAGAATGAACTCAACTAGCTGAGAGTTTGAGCATAGGCCAGAAAACAGAATGAGAAGCTAAGAATTGTTATTTGTATGTTTTAGGCTACCATTTGTGGAGAGGGCCTATTATATGCCATGTGCTATAATGGCATTATCGTATTTTAAGACATTTATTATTACAATTTTGTGAAATAGGTGTTTTCATGTCTGACTTCCAGACTAGAAGAGTGAGGAACACAGAATTTAGGCAAATTGCTCAGTGTCATATATCTAGTAAGTTCCAGAGTCAAGTTTTATACTTTGATCTGTCTTCTGCTTTAAGATAACAAGCAAGATAATTTAATGGAGGTGAGAGGGAAGATTGCATCTTGGAGATGAGTGGGGGGAAGAACACTGGACATTACCCTGGACAACTGACAAGAGTTAAGTAAACCTGGCTGACTTGTGGGAAAAGAGCATGTGGTTAATCCTCTGGGCAGAAAGCAGCCATAATTCTAGCTTTATCTGGAAGGAAAAGCTCCTGCAACTGCTCATGTCCGGTTATGACTCTTAGTTGCTTTCTCTGAGATTGATTCTCAGATTTTGTTAGTTTTATATAATAGTAAGACCAAGTATGACACCTGCTGTGAGTACTCTGAATACCTAGCTTACAGTAGGCATTTGAGTCATTCCTCATGAATGACTAAATAAACGAGTGTGTTCATTTTCCAAAACAGCAAAAGCAGTGGCAATCTGCTTCTATGTATTCCAAGGTGTGGCTCTGCTTAAAGCAGGAGAGAGGGGCTGGCAGTCTACGCTTGTACCATCAACCCCCAAATAATTCTACTGAAGTGAATCTTCAGAGAGTCCTTAAGAGAAGGCATTTGGGGATTTCACATTCTATCACAAAATCTTCAATTACTGGTATCCAAAATAGAGACTTTTCCCAGTGGTAAAAGGCTATTGTTCACACATGGAAAAAGAAGATGAATGCTTTTAAAATTACATTTATTGAAATTAAAATTAATTGGAGTATACAGTAGATCAGCAAGAAAAGAGAAGACTTGAACAACACTGTAAACTACTGAGAAGCAATATGTCTTGATAAGGACACTGCACCCCAAAACAGAAGGATACACATTCTTTTCAAGTGTTCATGAAACATTCTATAGGATAGACCATTTGCTAGGATATAAAATAGGCCACAATGAATTTAAAAGGATTGAAATCATACAAAATATATTCTTAGATTACCATGGAATGAAATTGGAAATCAGTAACAGAAATTTGGAAATTCATAAATAATGGAGATTAATTATTTAAGCAATGCACTTTAAAAAAATTAAAGATTTTATTTTTTAAGTAATCTCTACACCCAACATGGGGCTCAAACTCACAACCCTGAGACCAAGAGCCCCACGCTCCACCAACTGAGCCAGCCAGGCACTCCAAGCAC